ATAATTCTATAGAAAAACAACAAGACTACTTTGACGCAATTTTTATATTTAAACAACCACAAAAGTGCAGTCTGGACTATTTGCAAACGAATTCCATTAGATCAACTTTATATCTACTATTTGTTACGTAAATTTGTCTGAATGTATGCAAAATTCAAATGTGATGAAGCCGAATAATTGAAATCTAAAAATTTATTTCAGATGGCTTAGCAACAATCAGATAACAACCTTGGAGGCAAATTCATTCCAAACCTTGACGGCACTTGAAGATTTGTAAGTAATATTTTTTCTGAAAACACAACTTGTTTTCGCTTGCATTTATCTCACATCCCTTTAACGTCATATGTCATGCGCAATGATAATTTGTGCAAGTATATATATTCAACAATCTTTTCTTTTTATTTAAAAGAAACAACGATTTCCCAATTTCGTAGTAATGTTTAACTTTCGTTTTCAGTGTACTAGTTCTAAGAAATAGAACATAAGTGTGATTTGAATGCTTGTCAACTACTTCTTTGCAAACTCCTCTCTAGGCAATGCATAAGATAACATTCTCAAAGTTGTTATGCATCAGGTCACTTATAAGGTTGTAATACTTTGTTCCAATGCATCAATAAACATGATAACTGCCTCAGAAGATAAGTGCTTAGAAAAATGACTTTCATTGCATCATAAAAATCTGTCCATATATTATGCAGTAGATTAGCTAGTTTCATAAATAATAGCTGATTCTCACATTTGATTGTTTGAACATTTTCTTAGCAAATCTATTGTTATTTTTTAAATTGACGAATAGGGGTAAGCAATATATTTTCAAAATATCATTTTAAGGTGGATGCACAACAACCAGATAGCCATGTTGGACGCAAATGTCTTCAAAGGCTTGACGGCTCTTACAAATATGTAAGTACATTGATGGCCAATATAATGTGTGTCGCACTTTATTTTTATCAAACCGCAGCCTTGTTTTGACGGTAGATGAGGTTTGTTTAACGAAATTCACCTCACGTGCGTACTTATAACTTTTAATGTACGATCTTTATACCTCTCACAAACAAATGTCACATGTATGGTTCGGAATTACAAGCGTTTGTCCATCAACAATTACTAGAGTCACGGCATAATATCATGGTACGCTTAAAGATCTAAGTTGATAATTTGTGTCTATTGAACCATACATATTACTCTTCAGTCTCTGGAACATGATCGCCCATGTCATTTTTTCCAATAGGTATTATGCCTCATGTTCCATCGCATTGTTTTAATTTTTGTGTTCTTTTTTTTTTATTGACGCAATATTTATTTACAATGAGAATGTGACATTCCAGATCCATGTTTTCTAATTCAAAACATAGGATAACAATAACAATCAATTATGACAATAGTTATAGCTAAAGAGTGAAATAAATAAAAGAACCAGCAGTATACCGCATTTTTGCGGCGGCTGTGCAAACTCAGGAGGCTCTAGCTTTGTTAGTATTGTATTTCGATTTAAATTTTTGTCCATTTATATGTTATGGAGGTTAATGGGATGTCTATTTTCATTGAACTAGTTCATATTTTTGTTAAAGGGCCAGCTTAAGTCCTGCACCGGATTGGGATTTGGGCACTCTGTTGAAGGCCCATTGGTGTATCGGGCTGATTTCTGCTTTTGGTGGAGTTGTTGTCTCTTTGAAAATTTTCCAATTTCCATTCTCATTTTTCTAATTCGAGTAAGCAAAAAACAACAATTGCCTCATAAAATTCCTTAATTTATTTTTAAATCTGAAAATAAACATTATATGGAGAGTTGTCGCATTGACCACTTTTTCTTATGTCAAGACATTGAAAAACAAACACGTCAACATGGTTAAGGAACGTCGCTCGTTAAATCCACTACTTTTATACATTTTCTACTACATCTCTTTTGAGTTATATATTTAATGGAATTTAAATTATTTAAGACATACAAGAATGATTGTTTAATGTTTCATAAACACATATCAGTGCATATCCAATAAGGTTACACACTCTCAACTTGTTCAAAGATCTCTATATCATCTTCAGTTGCTTACTTAGGAGAACATGGCATTTGAAAAATCTCTTTTGTATGTCTCTTTATAGTAATCAGATTAATATCATGGTAAATGTTTTTGCTTTTGAAGGCTTGAAAGCTCTAAAAATCTTGTGAGTATATAGTTTGTCCAAAATAATTTTTCAAACCATGTGCTATTTGCATCAAACGTCTCAACACGTTTTACCTTCCATTTCAATGTACAACTACAGTCTATATATATACTAGTAGAATGTTTAATTAAATTTTATACCAAAAAAAAAAAAAAAAAAAAAAAAACCCAGATCGCCAATGGAAATTTAAAAAAAGAAATCCTTTATAGAATCTCCAATATTTCGTATGAAAGGTAAACAACTGTCAAATTCCTAACTTAGTACAGATATTTTTCTAATGAAGAACATTGTGAATAAACCATATTATTTACCTAGTTTAACCTCGCAAGTGTATGCCAGTCTAATAAAAACAAACATACATATTTGATACAAACGTCAAAAATAGGGATAGAGCAGTTAACATTGTAGTATACAAGCTTACCACTATAAAAACAAATAACTGTTTCAACAAAAAAACACAAAATGGCATGGAGACAAATTACATAGGCCAAATTAATGGCAAGAAATCAAAATGTACCATAGCACAATGACACAATGGCGGGATGTATGAGCACAGGTAAAGCAAAAAGATAAACAGTAAGTGCAAAATTAATATTTCTTTTGTATTTATTTACAAGTATTTGTTTTTTAACAATTATTCAAATTAACAATATAAATATACTACCCTCGAATGAAATTGCGATGGTAGATTAACACACGAGGGAAACATTATCACCCAAGACAAAGTAACGGGAGTGAATATTTTTTCACCGAGTGGTTAATAAGGGGACAAAGTCCCCCTTATGGTAAAAAAAAAAAAAACAACATTTGAAAAATTTCCCGCAAAGAAATCATTCTACTAATGAACTCAAAATAACTTTTTTTCAGACTTTTTTTTATTTTCGCGCATTTAAGCAGAAATCTACTTCCTTCTTCCGGTCTCGTTTGTCATGAGACTTTGAGTAAAATATATATATTTATCAGTCTAGTAAAATATAGGAAGGAACACAATACCAATTTCATTTTTCATAATTCTGTGATATGAAAAAAACCGTTACCTGATGATAGTGTTTCTTTGTTAACATTGAATATGACGTCATAACTTATATAACGTCACAACTTAATCCCTAACAACAGAACCAAAATCGGAAACGTTACGGTACTTGCGGTTTTTTTAACAGATTTTGAAGTTAAAATATGTTTGAATTAAAAAAATAATTCATACAGACTTCGTCCCCTTTCACAGGTAATGCCTGCCTCATATTTACCCTAACACCTTCATCCAAGGGCAGTCTATGTTTTACTATACTGAATGCCTTATGATTCAAAAGTGCGCTATTTCATCATGACAATTGTTAAACAATAAAGTGATAAGAACAATAAACTGACATAAATGATGTAGAAATAAGGATCTATAAACCTCGGCTTGAAAGTAGGTTAATTGTTAAAGTTGACAAACCGCGTGATAAACGGTTTTTGATTTCACGTATTAACACTTGTTGCTAACATAAACATATGTTTCTATGGGTTGGAGGGGCTTACGAAAGGCTATTAAAAATAAACAAATGCCGTGTGTCCAATGAAATTAATGGGAAATAGAAGAAATTTGTATAAAGTATAATGAACCTAAATACACTGCACTATTCTTTACGGAAATTTCTATTCCCAGGGTTGCATTTCCTATCATGATTTCCTTGATAGAGGGTTGCTCTGCTCACAAGCAAGCTATTAAACCATTAGTTTCAAATCATGAGCCTGAAATCATCCCTTCGTAAATTTTACTGAAGCTATCACAGGTTGGTTGACCGTTATTGGAATTTCCGTTTCACAGATGATAGCGGATATGTTCCTTAATGCGTAACTAACTACAATCCAGTTCCCTTTTCACGAATATTACCTATAAAATTAGACTTATTACCGGTTTTGTATTAACATAAGCAACATGACGGTTGCAACATTTTGAGCAGTATCTGCTTACCCTTTCAGAGCACTCGAGAACACCCCTAGGTTTTGGTTGGGTTTCTGTTGTTTAGCCTTAATGTTTCTATGTTGTGTTTAATGTACTGGTGTTTTTCTGTATCTCGTTTGTTATTTTAGCCCTGGCGTTGTCAGTTTATTTCCGATTTATCAGTTTGAATGTCCCTCTGGTATCTGTTTACCCTCTACTATTCATGTGTAAAGTTTATCAAATTCAAAGTGATTTAACAATAACATTTTAAAAATATTATTTTTCAGGCTTTTGCTAAACAATCAGATTACAACACTAGAGGAAAATGTATTTAAAGACTTAACGGCGCTTCAATATTTTTAAGTCCATCGATTCCTTTTAAAAATTGTTGTCGCTTTCTGTTTAAAATTTGCTGAAACATTTCATTAACTCAGCTTTATCGGGTGGTAATTGCTCATTATTGGCAAACATTGGGCTCAGCGGTTTCAAATTTTGGGCATTAACACCATTTGCTTATATTATCACATGTTGCTATGACTAGCCGGGGCTTATGAAAGGTTAGTTAAAATAAACAAATGCCGTGTGTCCAATGACGCAGCGATGTTAAGGCAATTTCGATAAGATTTTGTCAGGGGCAGATAACCCCGCAAGAACCTCATTATGTATTCATATATCCATTAATGGCGAAGATTCCGTAAGCTTCGTCTATCGATGAAACTGTATGAAATCAAATTTCATACATGCCTGTTAACTAAAAAAGGGTATCCATATGATGTAATTTGTTTATCGAAACACGAATATTGTATGTTTGTGCTTTAATTATTATGGCAAACAGATGCAATAGCTGTTTTTGTTGACGAGATTGTCGGCTTGTGGACTCCGCCTCCTTTTGCAGATTAACCAATCAGCAGACGATCGCCGTCAAATAGATGTTTGTAGTTTGCAGAATGGAAAGAACTTTGCAGCGAAAATTATTTTCACTTCTATGTGAAAATCTAACCAGAAAAGTAAGTGTGAGCCTCCAAATATGTATTATTTATGAAACATACGTTGTTTTTTGTGTTAATCATTCGCTTCAGAAATCAAAAAACTGTATACTTATAGATAAAAACGAGTTCAGTGTTGGCAAGCATGATATACACGTGGTCATGGTGGGCACAACGAAACTAGACTACAACAAATATCTGAAAGGAGTAGGTCCAATAAGACCCCTTTTTGGCCCGAAAATATAGCAGTTTTACAAAATTGTTAAAATGTAAACTTTTAGTTATTTATTGGAAAGAAGAATGCGTCTGCTACGTAAATATGGGCTGTTTTTGAAAATACAATGCCCATATATCGGGAACTAGCATCATTAATTCGTGCAAAGTTACTGAAATCTTCACAATTTTAACATTTTAGTTAAATTTTAGACGGTTTTCGTCTGAAATGAAAGGGGCCGCATTTGTGTTCATTCTTAATATTGAAATGTAAGTTGTATTTGATGATAATACATAACATATATAAAGGTTGAGGATGAACACGGATGCGGCCACTTTCATTTTTGACAAAAACCATCTGAAAAGTGACATTTTTTGGCATATTTGATCGATTTTTCATATGTAAGCTAGAATCGGAGCGTTTTTAATGACTTAATCAGTTAAAATCTTTCACATGAACTAATTGAATCAACTGAAATAGACACTTAAGTGTTTAAAAAGTGTCCAAAATCTTTCGTCAGATGAACCTGAAATTTGAGGCCAAATTTGGCTCTTACCAGACCTACTCCTTTGAATAATTTATCGAATCCCGTCAATAAATGAACAGAATATCGAATGAAACAAGATCCCTTCATTATACCGAGAGCCCATTCTCAACATTTACCCTGAAATTCGTTTCTAATTTTCGTTTAGCAGGTACCTGCCATTGGGGGAAAAGGGGGGGGGATTCCACTGTTCACTTCTCTCCGGCACCCACATTGCTGGAGCCATGACCCCTACTTTCAAAGCATGGAGCTCTTAATTTGTAACACAGGGCAGACAAACTTGCTCAAAAGGAAGCCTTGCAAGACGTCAAAATTATTTGGACTACCCCCCTCCCCCCCCCCCCCCTCTTTCCAACTTCTACTCCCACCATTTAATTAGTGTGAAGTCCATACTATATTATTTTCTGCTTAGTGCTGTTGGTATTAATCAACTTTGAATTAAAAAGGGCGGTAAAGGGTTAATTTTATGCAATGTTTTCTATTTACCCAGTGTTTATATTTTATTTCACTTGTTTTCGTGTTTTGACGTTTGACCTCTCAATACATGTATCTCGTGTTTGGTTCGATGTGCGTGCTACATGTTTCCCCTTATTTATTTCCATGTTTCCTGTCGTACAATTGATTTCTCATGCTTGTCAAAAAAGTTTTTGCAATTCTATTGAATATTTATGGTTCATGTATGTGATAAAGAACTTCAAATTTAAGTGTTCTATAAATAATATTTTTTTGAAATCGGATGCTTAAGGAAGTTAAAAGGTGACAGCAACATGATTACATCTTAATGTCCATTAAAAATTACAGCAGAAGGCTGAGTATCTGGGTAATTATTTGGTAATATCCTGGACAGTGCGTCTTTCTCTGGAAAAAGCCTGTGCACCTTGAATAAATTATCTTATTATCTGTGAACCAGTATTTTTTAAATCATTACCAAGTCAGAAATATATATATAACCAATTGCAAGTTTATGTACTTAAATTGCTGGCTGAATAGAACAATTTTTAATACATAGTCAAAATAATATTATAATTTCTTGAAAGGCTTTGTTAATGATTAACTGGGACGCCTTCCTCATGTTCTGATGACCGTCATTATTAGGAAGGAATCGCAGCAAAAAATTGAAGAAACTTTTCATGACACAATAATATTATACTAATTAATATGTAGTTTGCTCATCAAGACTGCCCACTTTGACATATTCTTTTTATGTATATGTAGGACTCTAAAGTGCGATGGTCACGCTAAAGTGCGATGATCCAAGCTAAAGTGCGATGATCTAAGCTAAAGTGAGATGGTGTCAGACGCTAAAGTGCGATGGTGTAACGGGAATGGGATTCAGGCGATGGTTTTTGTATTTTTCTGTGTTCATATTAGTTTTTCGTTTATTGTATTGTTTCTAAATCATGTCGTTGTTATTCTCTTTTGAATTGTTTTACACAAGTCATTTCGTGATCCTGTATAGCTTTTTATGCTACGTAAGCCAAGGCTCCACATTGAAGGTCATAACGTTATTAGGTGCATACATCAACGATATTTGGTCTTTGGTGGATATTTGTTCGTTGACAATTACACCACATCTTCTTATCTGTTTTTTTGTTTATTGTTTATTTTCTATATTAATCAGTCCGTAATCTTTCTCGTTTGAATTGTTATACACTGGTCTTTTGATACCCTTTGGTCGTTATAGAATACTTACTATCTGTGGGGTTAGCCATACGGTAACCTATAGTTAATTACATTAATGACATTTAGCATTGGATAGCGACTTGTCGCATTGGCAATCATATTATGATACTACACCTCTGGTCGTTATGTTACTGTCTTGTTGACGAGTATCCATCTCTTTTACAGACATGACGAACCATATTTTAAAAAATTGTTTTTACAAAATTATTCAATTAGAAAGTTAAAAAGTAGCTTTTATTTCACTCAAGTAAAAAATTGAAAACAAAACATTTGATAATTTCATGCGTCCGAAGCGCTTTTCTGGATTTACCTTTATCAGGAACGCTCAAAGCCAAACATTTGAAATCCGAGGATGTATAAGTACCAAAACAGTTGAAGAGCTATATGCTTTCCAGTAAATGACATGGACCGAATTAAATACTTTGACACTTGGTGTATTTTGCCATTTTCGCTCTCTTTTATGGTATACACCTTCCCCTTACTAATGTCAGTTTCAATCTATGTTTATGATAAGTATTTTATTCCAGTATACTGACAGAATCATGTTTGTTCCCGCCGACACAGCGGGATCAAAGGTTTGCATTCTGTTACTGTGGATGATTTTTTGGGAAGTAACTCCTCCGCATACACACTCTTCTAGCACCGACCAAGAATGTTCCGGATTGGGATAATTTGTTTCTTGTCTATTAAAAAATCTGTATCTGCACTAACATTCTCGTTTACCGGCATGTCCATTTTTGTTTGTACAAACGGCTTGTAGCGTCATAATGCGATTTAACGTTGCAAACGTCAATACTTTCGCGAACAAACGCACTTTAGCGTATCGAGGCATCGGACTTTAGCGTGTTCCATTAAATAGCACAGACTATCACACTTTAGCGTATCAAACCATCTCACTTTAGCGTGACCATCGCGTTTTAGCGTCCAAATCTCACTTTAGAGTCCTACATATATATATAAGTAAAACAGTATTTAAATTGAATAGAACACTATCATGCATCATCGTTCTAAAAATAGAGTATTACATAAAATATCTGAACTGTATCCCTGTTGGCAGGAATTAAATCCATTACTCGAAGATAAATCCCCGGTAAACAGAAGGGACCCATTTATAAAATTTCTTTTGGGAGACCACTAGTCAGAGAGGCAGAAAAAAGCCCAATTTGTAATAAAGTCGTTTATTCTGTGACAACAGACCAGTTTGTGGAATCACTAACATGACTAAAGTACGCAAATCACATATTCAATTTATCAAAGGAAAAGGCCACAGCTCTGTAGAAACCCATAGATTAAGGGGGGGGTCTCATATTCTTATTGCTCTGAAAGTAAGTCTACCACCAACCGCTGAGAAAAAAAAATTACGACATGTACAAGTGTTATGGACCAACTAGCGTAACGGTTAAAATGAACCAGACACCATGAACACAAATTAAACAAAAAATGATAATCATAAATTGAATAACAGCTATCACACATATTTGAAAGAAATATATTTTTATTTGGAGCAATGCCTTGCTGATGAATCATTCAGATGATAACTCAAAACAGCTTTCACCAATCTTCATGAAACTTTGGTGAATTGTTTAAATTTATTGACATAAGTTTCCTTTCCATTTCTATTTGATATTTTTGATACCTGGTTTTGGAGTATAGAGACTTTATTCATAATAACGGGTCGAAATTATCGCGTTTTTTTGGACAATGTCTCAAAAACGCTTAAACACATTTTCATGAAACTTGGTGAAATGTAACGTTAGCTCCCTTACGATTTTTAATATATTTTAAATTTTACGTATTCCAGTTATGGGATTTTATTCATAAGAATTATTCATGAATTGTGCCACTGTGCGCAGTTTGTTTTTTTTTTATTTTTATACCCCACTTTTAGTTTTTAAAAAAGTGGGGGTGGGTATACTGTCTTACTTGTGTCTGTACATCCTCAAGTCAGTCAGTCCGTCCGTCCCATGAATATTTTTCTTTGCATCTTTCTCAGGAACTTTACAAGGATTTCTGAAATTTGGTTTCAGGGTTTATATGTGTCAGCTATACGGTGTGATGCTTTTTCAGATTCATCACTCAACAACCTTTGTTTAACTTTTACTTTAAGGGTATGGGGGTATATTAGTAGCTCACAGGTTCACTTGTTTGTTTTATATTTTTTTTTTTTGGGGGGGGGGGGGGGGGGGGCTGGCTTTTTTTTTAACACAGCTCTTTTTTTAGCATACATGTAGGATGCAGCAATTCTAGAAATCCAAGAAAAAATAAGCATTTATTTTATCTATGGAGGAAATCCTGATATCAAATTAGGGTTGTGTGGCAGACGTAATTTCTTTATTTTAAAAATTATATGAATCATTATACATATGTTTATGCTCCTTATTGTAAAAAAAGTACCTATATGTAATTAATATTTATTTCTCTTATTTTTTTTTAGCTCCCCTGTCAATTACAAGATACAGTATGCCATTCCAGCTTTGATGAAATAAAGTAATGGTTTGATTTGGAGAGCTTTATTATTATAGACAGGTAAATTGTTTTATCCTGATATCAGATAACTATTGTACAATGAGACAACTCTCCCCAAGAGTCCAAATGACACAGACATTAACAACTATGGGTCTTTGAATGGCCTTCTACAATGAGTAAAGCCCATTTTGCATATTTGGCTATAAAAGGCCCCCAAATCACAAATGCAAAACATTTCAAAGGAGAAAATTAATGGTCTAATTTATGTAAGCAAAAATGAATGAATAAGAAATATGTAACACAGCAACAAACGACAACCACTGAATTCCAGGAACATACATTGTACATACAGAATGTGGATGGGTTAAACATGTTAGCGAGCCTGGCTTTTCTTCCTGTTTTATAATTTGTGCAAATCATGTACATCGAAATCGCAAAAATATATGTACCCAATAATCATGATAATTTCTTAATTTAATCAATGTTAATGAAGTATCTGTACCAGCAAAAAAAATTATTTACACAGACATGCCAGATATGGATACAATAATATACTGAACTTGCTAGCAAAATTTTTTTAGCTGTGGATTACTGATATTGATATTGAAGTATTCCTGTCGGAAAAGGAGATACAAAACAAAGTAAATTTAAATATTTATTACATAATACATCTTATAGGCACATATGGGTTTTTGTCTCGCCTTGACGGAATCAAAAAGCGAGACATAGGTATGCTGTTTCCGGCGACGACAGCGTCAACAATGTATTAGTTTGTGATTAGGTCAAGTTCATGGTGAACCACAAGTGGTAGGTCAATGATATTTGGTATGCAGTTGTATTAGCATTGGCACATCTCATTACCATGGAGATTATTTGGCCCCGCCCCCACAGTCAAGGTCTATTGACTTTGAAAATTTTCATAGTTTACATGTATTTGTTTGTGATTAGGTCAATTTATGGGGAACCACTAGTGGTAGGTCAATGATATTTGGTATGTAGTTGTATAAGCATTGGCATATCTCATTTCCTTGGAGATTATTTGGCTCCGCCCACTTAGTCATGGTCTAGACTTTGAAAATGTTGCTAAGTTAACATGTATAAGTTTGTGATTAGGTCAGTTCAAGGGAAACATTAGTGGTAGGCCAATGTTAATTGGTGTTCAGTTGTATAAACATTAGCACATCTCATTTCCATGGAGAATATTTGGCCCCGCCCCCTCAGTCATGGTCTATTTACTTTGAAAATTATGCTTAGTTTATATGTATAAGTTTGTGATTAGATCAGTTTAAGATGAACTGCTAATGTTAAGTCAATGATATTTGGTATGCAAATTTATTGGCATTTGCAAGTATCGTTTTCATGGAGATTATATAGCCCCACCGGTTGGTACCTCTGATCATGGTTCATTGACTTTGAAACTTTTACATAGTTTACAAGTTAATGTTTGTGTTTAGGTTTGTTTAAAGGGAACGACTTATAATAAGTCAATGGTATTTGGTATGCAGTTGTATTAGCATTGACACATCTCATTCCATGGAGATTGTTTAGCCATGTACCTTCAGTCATAGTTCATCGACTTTGAATATTTGCATAACTTACATGTTAAAGTATTGCTATTTTAATTTCAACATTTATATTATCAAAATTACAAAAAGGCGAGACATATCTCTGTGATAACAGTTTATTTTTCATTTAACTTTAAAGTTTTATAAAAGTACATGTAGTGCACCTTATTAAAGTGTGTGTGGAAAATTAAATCCTTGTTCAAATGATGAATGAAGACATTATTAAATAAGGACAGGGAAATTATTTTGTTAGCATTTTAACAGTAACTTCTTGAAGAAATATGTTTGCACTAACTTTTGATTACTTTTCACATGTTGAAAATTTCATTTAATATATATTATATTTGCATTTTCATATTTCAGGGATGATGACCTGCAGTAGAAAGTTCCTTATAACTCATCATGGCCATTACGGAAGATCTGATTAACATTTGTTTAGAAAGCCACCAAATATGTCCATGAAAAGTAGCAAAAAGACAGCAATTATACATTATGTACATATATGTACTAAGCAGAAGCATTGTTGACTGTTTCAAGACCAAATGAATTGGAATTTAGTGTTTTGATGCTGAGAGACAGAGGAAAATTAACTGGAAAATTTAGTTTCTTTTTCACCATCATGTACATGTATCACTGAAGTTGATGTTTACCATCTTAAGGAGCTTTTACCTCAGTTAAAATGAATTCTAAATACGGACAGTTTGGAGATTTGTGAATTTTCTTACAATTGGAGTTTCAAAAAAGGATTTCATTTAACAAAATTATATTTCATGGATGTAATTTGTCGTTTCTTTCATGAAATATTTGACAAATCTGCAATACATTTGTATCTGACCAAGTGAGAGATCTACAAATAGATATACGATATTCAGTTGAACTGTAAAGAAGGAGATATTCATTTGTAAGGCTTATATGAGTGTTTTGTTATTTTTATGGCAATTACGGGGAAAAAGGTAGTAATTGATTTAAACATTAATCCTACCTAGATATACATGAGATATACTATCATATACATGTAGGCATACAATTCACTGATGCACCACTAACGGAGTTACATGTAATTATAAAACTAAAAATAAGACATATGATTGCCAATAAATTAACAACTCTTCATCAGAGAACAAGAAGATCATATTATATCATGATTTATATTTCAATTCATTTTCTTTCATAACAGTTAACACAGAATAAAGGTATACAAAAAGTTCAAAATCATAAAAAAGTGTTTTAAATTCAGTTGTCATGGTTGTTGTTCATCTTAAAGTGAATTAGTCATATTGATGTTGGCCTTCAATACTGAGCAAGACCTCTGTAACAGCCACAGATTGTTTGAAGAAAAAAATTATCTATACTTATATATTTGTCTATACTTAAAAATCAGAATTTTTTTTCATTTCTTGTCTAAATTAAAATTGGTTATACAATTGTATACGTTTGGCAAATATAAATTTATTTAAATGATGGTATTATTTGTATCCAGGATTTTCTAAAAATTGCAATAATTAATCTCGCATTTTTAATTGTCCTCATTGTTCAATAATTAAAATTATCTTGGGAATAAATTTACTCAAAAAATTCTGAGTCTTTTTGAAGGATATATAAACTTGGAAACTTGTGATGGAATATTTTCACAGTTACTGTTTTAGAGATTCTTATATCTAGCATGTTTAGCAAAAGATGTTGGGTTTACATGTATGGCAATAAGACAGCATCCCCAAAACAGACAGAAATTGCTTTGTTCTCAGTTTGAAATTGCACACATATTTGTGTATTACAGCTAGAATTTGATATAAAAAAAGATGATCTGGTATAATTGCCAATGAAGTTTTGATTTACAATTAAGTCATTTTTTTACTCTTGTGATTGGTTCAGGTAAAGATTAACCACTGATTGTACCCTTGTCAATGATATTTGTAGGCATTAGTTTTATAAGCATTTACACATTATTTTAATTTCCATGCTGACTAGTTTGTCCTGTCCGCTATGCCATGATTCATTCACCTGACACTGGCTGAAACTTTTGGATTGTGTATATATGTATTAATTGTGATTGAGTTAGTCATTTCTGTGTATTTATATTATATATGGTACATAGAATTTCTTTTATTCTGACAGAAAAGAAATACAATTCAGTTGCCTCCAATTTCAGCAGGTGATGGGAAATAAGTTTTCTGATCTTGACATGTTTGAGATGAACCTTAAAATATTATGGCACTTGATAATGAAAAAACAATTGATTGATTGTGCTGAATGTCATGTAAACACTTTTGGCTATTTCTTGGCTGTCCATTTGTATTGGTGAACACTGGTAGGCAGGGATTTAATATGAAATGAGCAGCAGAAAAAAATAGGTCACTATTTCTAACTGCATGGTATAATAATAAATGTAAACTATTGAGATTTTGAGATGATATATATGACAAGGTTGTTGATTGAATCATAGGTACATGTACATGTAATGAAACTAATTGGATGTGGGTTTCACAGATGCGATAAGAATTAGTCCTGTATATATATATACATCCGATATTTGTCGAACTGGTTATCGCTTTATGATATAGTGTAAGCATAAATAATGAGAGCTCAAGGTACATGTTTTTGAAGTATGGGGTACTCAATGCCGTAGCTTTTTTTTTATAAAAAAAGCAAGCCATACAAAATACTGGCCTGGTAACTGGTGAAAATTCATATTCATCCATAGGCAAAAAAATTACCCTACCCACCAGAATAAAATTCAAAAAGACCTCCCAATCATGAGTTACAAATTGATACCAGTCACACTTGAGATACAGGAGATAATCAACTAGTAAAATGTGAATATTTATATGCAGGTAGGAGTTAATATTTATGATTTAAACATTGTCAATGACAAAGAGCAAACAAAAAAATCATGAATTTTGGTATAAAGTTTCTGTATGAAAATGCAACTTTTTTCATTAAAATTTTAATGGTTCCCAATATACAAGCACTAGAAGAGACTTTATAGTATACTATTAATTATATAATGAAGTTGCATTTGCAAAAATGAGAACTGCACTATGACCCCAGATGCGGATTCCGGATTATGACAAAAAAGGAGGGGCTGCGTGTTCCAACACTAATCGAAGTTATGGACATATAGGAAGTGTATACATTAACTATAAATTGGTTGATACACAAGGGACCAGAGCCTACATGAATCCGCCTCTGCCATTTCAGCCATTTGCGGCGATATACACAAGAGGCGGAATGCAAGAAGATGTAAATATTCTATTTTATGAAAGTCCAGCCTGTCATAATGAAAATTCCCTGAAAAAACCCAATACTGAATAGGAAGCTTCAAATACATTAAGCAAGCAATAAGAGAATATTTGTTTATTCTCTCCAACATGACGTTATTATATGAAACGCTTCACGGTGAGTACAAAAAATACACTGAGTTTTTCCGTCAGCCGATCCGACTACTGCAGGGTCATTCAAACGTTTTTCTCTCGCATTTCAAGGCGATAATGCTACTTCATGCTAAATTAATTGAAAAGGGCAGGTGCAAGAGCTATACCAACCCTCTTGATTCTGGTATTGGTAGAAAGGCCACATTTCAAATTTTTCAAAAAGTGCTGTGCCTAGTTATATAGCGGTCGTGTAAAAGAAATTTCACAACCCGAAGTGCCAAAAAGTCAATTAATCGAAAAAATTCTCCACGTTTTATTGTTTTTTTATTTACAACACCTCTTTTAAAAACTAGGCACAGCATTTTTCCAGTAAAATAAGTTATCCTGATTACAGGGAGCCAAAAACCAGGGCGATCGGATTTCATCTTGCACCTGCCCTTTTGACTTATTAGGAAATGTCCTTACTTTCAGTTTGAAGTCACGTGACACTAGTGTATCTATAATTTTCTATAAATAAAAGTTTGTAATGTGATTCAGAATAGACCCTTTTCCCTCTGTTTACGCTTTTGGCTGCATTTTAACTTTTAAGCAAAAGAAAACTAACTTTGAGTTCAATATAATTTTTCCTGTGTATAAAAATGGGATATTTCTTGAAACGCCCTTAACGTCCCTGCGGAAATGTATGGGTAATAGAAGAAATTGGTAAAAGGTATACATGGTATAACAAACCTAAATATAAAATAAATAAATCTAGCTTACCTATTTATATGATTAAGTTTCCTTTTTAATGCACTAAATGCATCAAAACGACTTGAGCCGGCCAATATCTATATTATTAAACGAGAAGACTTCATTTGGAGTGTCGCTTCTTTTCCTTCCACAACAAATTAATCATCAAGCATATGTGTCCTTATGGTACTATGCATAGTCAAATTTGTCATCCTCATTTAAGATTATTCCGTTTGGGTTTTTTGGGAGGAAAACGAAATTTTATGTCAAAAATAAGACTTCCGTTCAGGACTGTTTAAAATTACACAGCATTGTGGTAAATTTACAAACATCAAAATAATTCATGCATTCCATATATTTGTTTTCATTTTCACATGGCTTGGGTCGTTATATTCGTAAATTGTATCCCTTGCTTACGCTCGGGATAAAATTCCCAGATAACGACCTAGGCTATGTGAAAATTTTCAACAAATCTATGGCTTGCATTCAATATTTCTTAAATACAACATGATTATGTACCGGTTTCAGGGGTCCCAATCGAATTTTTATCGCTTCCAGGGACCTTAGGAATAAATGATACCGGATCCTGTACCTCAGGTACCGAAAACATTGTATACACGTAAGCAAGTTAGAAATTAAAGGTTGTTTGTAAATTTACCCAAATTCTGTGTAACTTTTACCAGTCCCAAAAATTGTGCGTTAATGTTACTACAAATAGATGACCTTTGCGTTGCCATTCTTTCGATTTACATCTGATTTGAACTGATGAAAAATCCCAAGGGTTACATTGACACCCGTTTATGTTTAAGATACCTATGTAATTTTGATTCCTTTTCTGAAATTCTCCAGTCATACAATTAACATCGTTTCAACCACGCTCTAAATGCCCGCGATTTCGCGGGTGAGTTCTAGTTTAGCTTAAATGAGGGATTCATTTGCAAACGATAGAATTGTGGTCAAAGCTACTGCTGCTTCATAATTTACAAAGGATTTTATTATGTTTTTTCAAGAGCACCAGCATTATATTTCTAAAAGTGAATAGAATTACTAGTCCAAAATTGTTTTCGTTTTTTATAAATACGACATCATTGAATAAGTAAAATTCTACTCATAAATACACAAATCTCAAATAACTTAAATTATTAATTCGGAAAGTCATGTTATTTGATTTTAGAAATATTAATGTTTATGCTTTTAAAAAAGATTAAAAGTTACCATTTCGATTCTTGTTGCCAAGCCTTTCCAAAACATTGACATATAGGCCCCATAAAAAGGTCGTCAACATCCCCGACAATATGTGTTTACAACAAGTATACTTGCCTGGTAGCATTTCTATAAACATTCGGCACTCGGGATTAATATTTGTTACTCGTATTGATACAGCATGCAATATGTATTCCGCCATATATTATTCTATATATAAAGCAACATCTGTTGATCAATAGGACATTCCCCAAAAACATATACTTAGAAACAAATATCAAAAGAAACCATTGTGCAAATTATAA